AAAACTTTAAAAAACAAAACAAAGCAAACTCCTCAATTCTCTTCTCTAAACCACTTAAAACTCCCAAACTTTCTTACCCTTTTCCCCACATATTCCAGTCTTGACTTGGTTTCTCTTACAGAAAACAAACAAACAAAAAAACCTTATAGGAGTCTAATTGATTCAGCACAGCTTATCGAATACAGCAATGAACGGGAGAAAAACCTATCTAATTTTTTACCAGATTGCGAACAGAAGACTGTGTTTCACATAGTCTCCCAGGAGGCAAGGTGATGAACTAATCATGTTGCAATCTACGAGGTCACAGCAAATAATTAAGACACTTGTTACAGTGGTCTGTGTGGTGCGATCCTGTAGCGACTCAGAATGGATTTTCCATAAATTCAAGAAAAGGTTCTTTAAAATCCTAATTTAAAACCTACATTTTAGCTAATTAAGAACAGTATGGCTCAAACTAATACATCATTTCACACTTAGTGTATTGATAATCCTGAGAGCAGGAAGAGAGAAGAGAAAACCTTAATTTTTTTTTCTTCTGTCCTTAGCTCTTTTAAGGTGTTTGCTGGAAAATAAACACAGACACACTCTGCTGCTTTAGTGATCAGCGTGACAAAGGAAAGCATAAGGCAGTTTGCATATACTCAGTACCAATTATCTGACATTTTCACATCATAAAGCAGGTTTAAAATGCCATGGGGTGAAAAAATGTTCTTCACCAAAAGAAAGAATCCCCTCAATGTGTGGTGCTGATTAACTTTAGAAGAGTTGATAAAAGATGACGAGGAATCTTTCAGGAGCGATTTTGTTTTTGAATGAAGGCAAAATCCCACATCTGTCACGCACAGCTTACACGTGGATCTGACTAAAAACAAAACATTACCACACCATACTTTCCATACCCAAGATGTGATCAGGACTTTACATACCTTACGTGGCAAGCATGATTTGCCCAATTTCACCAATTAGAATTCGAAGTACAAAGAAGAAGGTTCTACAATTTAAAAGTGACCTGAGTATTTAGTTTAGTTTAGTTTAGTTTTTTTTTTTTAACGTGGTAGAAAAATCCAAGGCAAGCTTAAGTTTCTAAAATCATTCTGAATAATTCTGAAAATGTCTGATTTAAAATTCTGCAATTTTGACTCTAGCTCTTTCATTTCAAAAATAATTCGCAAAGCTATTGCAAGATCCTCGTCATACCCTGAATATTCTTGCATTATTTCTGTAAGTCATATTATTTGCAACTTAGTTGCCAAACTGCAGCTACTTTTTTTTTTTTTCTAAACTTCTTAATGTATTTAGGAAAAGAAAGTGGTTTAGGGGTAGTTTTTATTTACCTATTCTTGTATGAACAATTAGGAAGAAAGGTATAATAATAAAGGTATAAGAATGAAGTAGTTTTGCTCTAAAATATTGTTTGTTCTAATTATTATCCTAATACACTGCTTAAGATCTAAATATATAATTTTAATTTAAATGCAGCTGAAAGTAAAGAAAGATAGCAATTCAAATTTTAAGAGAAAAATGAGAAGTATTATACAATAATCATATAGTAATCATTCTCAGCTAAATGCCACCTTCATTATCAATATATTATTCTGTAATATACATATATATTTCTAAACAAAATAAAGGAGATAATTATATCATCTCAAAAATAGCAAACAAGTGACAAAATTAACTCAACTTAAAATAACATATGAACATTATGACTGATAACTTAATAACATATAAACCAAAACTATAAAATATCTTCAAATTTTTCTAAAACATTAAAAGTCTCAAAAGCTTAAAAATTATTTCAGTAACTGGGATTCCAACTTTGCAGAGCCCAAACAATAAAATACACATCTTAATTATTGTATTATTAAAACTATTTTTTTCAATCTTATTTGGTCTTTTCTCTCATGTGAGAGAAAAGAAAAAAAACACTTTTAAATGAATAATCTGGGAATTTTTATTTCATTTTTTTTCTTTTCTGCATCATAGATGGAGCAAATATTCAAGTATTATGGGAACTATCAGAAATATTATTCTTAATGTTAAATGACAATAAACGCAATTTACTCGTAATAGTATAAAAATGAGGATAAAAATGTGAAAATACTAAACAGTATGAAAATTAATACATGGTTTCTGTCAGTGTTTTCTGTTTACCTTCACTTTGTTTCAGATTGTATAATAAATACTATATATACCGAATAGTAGGTAGACAACTATTAGTGATGAACTCTGATAAAATAAAAATAGGAGAATTTATTTTTTTTTATTTTTTATTTTCAGATTAGGAGAATCTAAAGAGTATTAGCCATTCTATGATTTTGAGTCTCCATAAATTAAAGTACTTCCCTACAGCCCACTGTAATAATTGAACTATTTAATACAGTAAAGGTTTTCAATTCCTGTGACCCCACTATCACATCACATTTAGCACCACAAATGCTGTTTTACACATAACTGCTGTAAAAATAGACTGCTTATATGGGCACGTGACGTGTTTTGAATAGCTTCAGTACTTACTGCTGTCAATGCCTCAATCAGCACATTATCCCTACCCTCACGATTTTACAACTTAGTGATAAATATAGCAAAAGATGGCTTTTGAAGAACATTTTAGCAATTAACCATGAAATAGTCTTTTTAGAAGAAATTGCTAAATTTAAATAGCACATTATCCAATAGTCAAATTACATGCTTCAATTGGAAACCTGTGTGTCTAGCTGACTTACTAACATGGATTTATATATACATTAGCAAACTATTATATCACAATATTAAGCATGTTTAATCCATCACTGCAAGTCACTTTTTATCTGGTCAAGTGTGTATATACACATATACATACATATATACATACACGTATATCATATATACATATATGTGTATGCATATACACGTATATGTATATATACGTATTTAACTCTTATTTATCCAATGATCTAATTATCTTCCCAATTACATTTAACAGTGGGATAAAACCAGTAAAAGCGTATCTTTTCCTGTTTTACAATGAATTCTATCTTTCAGTGAGTGACAATAAATTCCTACCTTTTTAAATTATATTTTGTTTCTATAAGAAAGTATTAGTTTTAAAACTATTAATTAGGTTAAAAACTACTAAAGCGTGTGACTGACATTCATTTTATTGCATATAACTGCTGGTCTTTACTCTTGGTTTCAAAACTGTTACACAGATTTATTAAACTGGAAAGTCACAAAATATCCATCAGTTATTTACTCCAGTGTATGAAAGTTTGAAAAACAGCTCCTTCTCTTGCCACCCCATGCCTTCTATAATTGTTAATTTATATTACCTACAATTAAGAATCATTGGTGATATAGAAGAACCAGAAACAAGGAAACTCTTTTGGAGATTACAATAAGTCAGTGAGTTGATTTGCCATATTTCATTTTTTAATGCCATTGGACAGACAGATTTCTTATTAAGAGACAAAATCAATAAGAGCCAGTGTGAAAGTTGTAAAGATCTCATTAATAAGAATAACTAGTGTTTTATGTTATCTATACAGCAAATACTTCTGATAGTTGTTAATTCAATCTTGCTTTTCTTATTTTAACTATTTTGAAGTAGAAATTTTACATAATATTGTATTTACTAATATTAATAAAATCTTTCATATGAGGGGTTGGAGAAATAAGTGATCTAAATAGGAAAAAAAGTTTCACATTCAAAGTGCACATCTTCCTTTTTTCCACTGGAATGACAATACAGAATATACTTCAAATCAAAGTTATATCCGTATTAGAAAGGATGATAAGAGATCAGCAACTAAATAAAAACATGTCAACATTTTCCCTCAAAAGTCCAATCCACCAAAAATCCATAAACAACTAGTTATCTTTAAGATTTAGAGACTGGTAATCATTGCTTGTCCAAATGAAAAAGTAGATTACCTCCGAATATTTCACAACTAACTACTCACTGTGTAAAGAGATCAAACTTTGTTAAGTAGAAGAACAAATATTTAATTGCCATTAATACATATTGCTGTTGTCCACCAATGGACTTTTATTTAAACACTTTCTATCTGTGGAAGGTACGCGGTGTACATGGGTGATGACCCTTGAAATTAACAATATTAATATTCTGAGGTGTCCCACAGGACTAGTTAAAAAAAGTTACATCAATATCACAAAGAAGGTTGCATCCTATTGTCAAAAGCTTAATTACAGAAGCTATCTTATTTATTAATAAACAAGAAATTCAACGGTATTACTTTTCATCAACACTTGGTGAAGGATCTTTTTCTTCATTGTTACTCCTTAGGTTATTTTGATCTACGTTAAATCAGGAGCTATGTACATACTAACAGATTACACATACGTAGAAACAAAACATACCACATCACCCAGGGTTTCAGATATGAAGAAAAGCTTTTAGCAACAAACTGTTATCACCAGACTGTGAAACTGAACAGGCATCCTTAATAACTCTGCCTGTATACCCCACCACATCACCTTAGCAACAGGAGAGGAAAAACCGTGACTTTAAGTCTCCGTAGAGTAAAAAAAGCTGTTGCTAAGCAAACATTACAACCAAAAATACAGAAAACTGTAGCTTGTTATTTGAGAACTACTTCACAAGTTTAATAATTTAATTGGCCCAGCGCACTTTAACCTGGATACCCAAACCAGATGAGAGGTGAAAACAAGTCCACTTCCACATCCCACAAATTAGCAGTTACCTTGCATCCACCTCAAGTCAAAAGCCAGCTAAGGACCAACCGAGAGAGACTGTCTTCTCTCTTCCTCTTGACCTCTCTTATCCTCCTTATCTAGTTGGTTTTACACTTTACCCATGTCACTGGTTAAGATCTAAAACAACGACTGGCTTCCGCCCCAAAGTGTCCAGTCTCCGAATGTGTGCCCCGCAAATACTTGGGAGAAAACCCAAGGCCCCCCAGCCTGCACTTGCTTCCTGTGCCCCAGCCAGCTGCACGCCTTACCAATCCTCTCGTGAGCTTTCTCCGGATGGCACTTACCTGCTGCTCCCCGGGTTCCGTAGATTTCACCAGGTGCTTATCCTTGTACAGGGACCACAGACCAATATTGGGCAGGAAAATTAAAGCCACCATGAATAAGAAAGTCATCTGCAGAAATCTCTTCTGTTTCCTCTTCATTGCAAGTGATAACAGAGAAGAAAAGTTAAAGGAGATGGCTCCCTGCCTGCTTCTTGTGTTTAATGCCAAAGTCCTTTCCTCTCCCCTGCGAAGCACCAGAAACTGAGGAGAAGCTAAAAACTTTTGTTGCGTGCTCAGCACCAATCTGCACGATTCAGAGGGAGTTGGGCATCTGCAGAACAAACGCACAGTTACTTTCCCCCCCGAGAAAACTATGACGAAGGCATTATCTATTGGCTTAGAAGTAAATGACTTGACTGAGGAAATCATTAAGACTCTCCGAAAATAGGCAATGGAGTAAATATGATCATTTCTCACATAATCCTAAGTTAACGGAAGTCTACAGCATGCTAGAGAGGCAAGAACAGGAGTTGTGGGGCGCGCCCCCCTGAGTGGGGGAGGGCGGGGCTGGGGAGAGGAGACGGGAGCGGGTCAGGAGGGGGGGAGGACTGCGTGGAGGAAGCGGTCAGCCCCGGCAGGTGTCAGGAAAGAAGAGCGTCTGCTTTTGACATTGGGACGTCACCTTCCTCGTCCTCCCCGAACGTCTCCTCCGGAGCTCCCCCCGGGATAACCCACCTGAACTCAGGGCCAAGTCCCCGGGAAGCCAGCGTGCCGGCGGGCTCCGCACCGATGCGGGGGCGCAAGTCCTGTGCGGATGGAGGTGAGCAAACTCCTGGGTGCTCGCGCGCGGTCCTCACTCTGCTCGGCGGGCAGCGGCTCCCGAGCGCGGAACCTGCTGGAAGGGAGGCTACAGATGTCAGCGGAGCCCAGCCAGGAACTGGAGGCGCCCTCGGAACGTGATGCTCCGCGCAGTCAGCGCTGTGCCATCAATCTCTTCGCCTTCGCCGTGACGCTCTCACGCGCCGCTCTTCATGTTACCATTCTTTTCCGGCAGCGGAGCGAACCCCGAGGAGCATCGCGAGCGCCCACAGGGCGGTGGGGGGCGGTGGGGGGCGGTGGGGTCCGCCTCCCCTCCCGCGGAGGGGCTGGAGCGGGGCGAAGGCGCGTGTGCGCCGGGCTGGGCGGTGCGCGAGGGCGCGCGGGGGTGCGCGGAGGGCGAGCGGCGGGCGCTGCTCCCTCCCTCCCGGCCGCCCGCTCCCCGCTCCCGGCTCCCCGCTCCCCGCTCCCCGCTCGCCGCCGCCCGCCTTCCGCCGAGACGCTGCTGGGGCCGACCACGTGCGGGAGCCCGAACCCGGGAGCGGAGGGGCGCGGAGGGGCGCGGAGGGGAGGGGCGGGGAGGGCGGGGAGGGCGGGCCGCCGCGAGGGGCGGGCAGTTCCCCCGGGCCCCAGACCCTGCCGCGAGCGCGAGGTGGAAGGGGAGGGCGAAGACGCTGCAGGACGGGGACTCGCACCTGCCGGCCTGTCTCCGCCGGGGCTTTTCGGAGCATCCTTTCGGGGGCAGGGATAGCAGCGCCCCCACTCATCTCACGCAGAAGGCGCCAGGCCAGAGACTCCGGAGGAAAAGTCGCCGGGCTCGCGGGCTGACCCCGGTCCTTCTCCGGTGCCGGCGGAGCGCAGCGCGGAGGCGCCCCGAGGCTGGGCCGGTGCCGCCCAGAGGGGCTCCCCGGGCACCTGTCCCGCCGCTCGGGCCAGGTACGTGCGGGGGGTGGAGGAGGACGACGCCGAAGCGAGGCAGCAGCTCTGGAGCGACTCCGCGGAGACCCGGGGCGCGTCCGGGGCGTGCAGGCACCCGGGGCCCCGAGATGTGGCGGCGGCGCGGCGCTCCTCCCCCGCCCGGCTCGCCCGCGCCCCGCGCGCTTTATTGCTGCAAGGGCTGCCTGGCGCCCGACCTCGCACACTCCTCCCGTGGTCCCCGGAAAATGTGGGGACTCGAGGTCGGTCTCAGGCAGAAGGGACTCCTGCGTCTCCCCAACATGCAGATGCACCGCGCCCCCCGGCGCACACGCGCGGACCTGGGGGTCCTCTCCAAGACACCTGCGTGCCTGGCGGCGTGCGCTGGGTACTCTTGGACCCTGAGAGCTCCTGGCTCCTGGAGGAATAGGGACTTGGTGAGGCGACAGGCGTGCATGCACTGCCCCCTGTATCAGCCCTGTCTAGAGCCAAAAAGAAGCGCCATGGCCATCCCTTTGTTACAGGCTAGATGTGATGCCCACATACTTGGGATGGAGGAGACTGTGGGCCCCAGAACGGTATTTTGGTCTTTTCTCTCTTCTTTCCTTCCTCTCTTCATCTGCTCACTCGCTCCCTGCCCCCCCCCCCGCCCCGCCCGCCTCCCTCTGCCTCCCACTTCTACTCTCTCTACCCGTGGCTCACTTGAGAAAGACACAGATGTGAGTGTGAAGAGTTATGCCTTCAACTCCTCACGTTATAATTTTAAAATGTATTTGAACAATAAATATTGGCTCTGTGACTGCATGAATAAAGCTTTGTGCCGCAATGTTTGTCTTTGTGAATCACTTGCATTTCAAAAGAGTATATAAACAGGTTTCGTAAGTGTTTTTAAATATGTCCTTTATGTGTAGACCAGTTACCCTTCAATTTTACACAAATGCAAGAATCCAGAGAGCAAGGGACTTAATTCCTCACCCCCCCCTTACGCACACGTGCTTATACACACACACACACACTGCCTTTTCCATTTTGCATTATTTAAAAACCTTTTTCTCTCTTAGCAAGTGCAGTTCTGAAACATAGAAATATGAATTTGGAGAAGTAACATAGCAGGGAGAGATTTTGCTGGGAGGCTTGGTCCTCGAGGAAAGATTTTGGAGATTTATTTTAAGTATATTGGACATTTTCTGCCTTACAGTTAAGTTATTAACAATTAAAAATAAAAGCACCCAAAAGAATTCTTGGAATTAGAAAAATAAAAAGTCCTTCACATTTTAAATAACGTTGGTTTCTTTATACCCAAAACAAAAAAAGAGCTCTGTATTACAAATAGACATATTGTCATATTGTCAATCTGTTTACTAAATCCAGGATTCTGACTTGAATTGTGCTTCATTGTTGTTACACTAGTAAATGGCCTTATAAACAGTACCCATTCCCAGGGCACTATTAGTGTCAGTGAATGGGTATAATCACTGTTACTTCCCACATCAAGTACATGCAGAATACGAGGCAGAAACTAGAGGAAGAAAATTAGTATGTTCATCCCTTTTACTGTGTAGCTTTAATCACTTTTGCTTTTTCCTTTATTTATTTATTTGTCTATTTATTTATTTGAATCATATCATGATTCTCATTCAATCTGTTCTTTTATAATTCCATGTATAAATTTCTGATAGATGACAATGATTCTAACTAAAATTGATATTTTAGGTTCAATTTACAAACAAACACTTGACAGATAGTCCAGATTAAATAGATATATTCTTTTTCCTTTGTTCAAATAATCCAGATTAAATAGATATATTCTTTTTATGTTCGTTATTAATATTGGTTTCAACAAAATCTTGTCTTTAAAACTTGTCTTCTATTCAAAGCCCCCTTTTTACTTCTGTTTGCTTCTCCATTTTGTTATGATTCCCCTGGGAATGTCAGGTAATCAGAGTCCCATGTGCCTAGCAATGTGTTAATAGCTACAGGGACACCTGGGAAGCAAACAGCAATATCTGTTACCATGAATAATTTATAAACTAGTTGAAAATGTAATATAAAGGCAATTAGAATAAATTGGAAAGGGGCAGAAGGAAATTGCTTAGTTATAGCTCTACTCCAAAATGTGATGACTTAAAACAACTATTTCACTCTCTCAGTTCTTTTCATTTGAATGGGCTCAGCTAGGCAGTTGTGCTTTGAGTGATGAAGGCTGGCTCCTAGGACTTAGGTCTTGCTGGGCCAGAATGGCTCCCTCACACAGGTAGCAGTTGGCACGGTCAGCTGGAAGATCATCTGGGCCAATCATTTGGAGCCTCTCAATTCTCTACATGACCCTTCCACATAGTCTGAGCTTCTCACAGTATGGTGGCCAGGATCCAAAAGGGAACAACATCCCAAGAATCTGTACTCCAAGAGGGAGAAAACAAAAACTGCCAAGTCCTCTTACAGGCCCAGAATTAGAACCACCTCACTTTTGCAGTGGTCACAGAACCAGCCCAGATTCTCCAGAGCAGGTGGTGGTGAAATTATGGGGATCAAACTGACCTCTCAGTGAGAGATTTGATGATATGTACATGTCCATCTTTAACTCACGATAGGTATTCAAAGGCATAGAGGTAGGAATTCCTAAGGAAGGCCTAGCCAGATTAGACACTGGATGATGAGATGTAATGGGCAAAAGTTTTCATAGGTTGGATTGAATCAAAGTATTCATTTCTACAAAGATAGTGAATTAACGTTTAGTTCAAAAATAGGGTTATGGGGTGCCTGGGTGGTTCAGTCAGTTAAACATATGACTCTTAAAAAAAAAAAAAAACTGACTCTTGATTTTGGCTCAGGTCATGATCTCAGGGTCATGAGATTGCCATGCATAGAGGGCTACACACTCAGAGGAGAGCCTGCTGCTCAACAAAACTGGAAAAATAAATTTATTCTTTTATTTTAAAAACTGATGACATGACTGGAATTTAATTTGAAATTATTCACCTTGGATCTTAATATGGTAGTGTTCATTTTCACTGAGATGAGTTTTTTCCAAGGCTTTATCAGAAGGCAGAGACACTAGAGCGTGAAGATAATGTGTCTAGAAATGGAGGCATATTCCAATCTTCTCCAATGATGATGTCTGGAATATGAAAACCCTTGAAAGTTTTCAATCTGAATACACTACTACAGTATTTTGGTATTAGCATACCTTTACCTAAGTTATCTCAGTTTTTGAAGAAAAATGATTTTGTAGTGAAAAACAGGAATGTATTAAATAGCAATTTTAGTAATGGTACAGTTAAATTATACAATTCATTTTTGTGGAATTAAAACATACTTTAAGGAATCTCCTTAATTCTTTTTTGCTAGAATGTCAAATGCTTTCTACTACACCACAGAAAAAAGTAAGAACCAACTTAAACATCAAAACATGGTAATACCCAATCTCTATCATTGCTGAAATTCTTCACCAAAAAGCCCTGAGTCAATTTCTATATATATGCAAGTGCTGTTGGGCAGAGGTTGCAAAGATGAACATTCTTGCAGAATTTTTAGCACCACAAGGGATTTAAAGGTGTTTGCAGTTAAATGTGGTGCAAATTAAAAAGTGACAAATGCTAAAAGAAAAAGAAGGTTCTTTCTTTTTTGGCCTAAAAAGAAGGTTCTTTCTTTTTTGGCCTAAATACTTTCTAACTAGACTTTATGGTGTTTAAACTCTTAGTAGTTAATTTTACCTCTGAATATGTGTTTTTTTCCCCCTTAACAATAGACCATACCTTGATTTGAATCTTTCCCTATATATTTAGCTATCAAACATTTATTTAGGATTTACTATATGCTAGGCATTTATATAAGCATTTCTTAGGCATAAGTCATTTAATTTTGTAAATAATCTTCTTATGTAGGTTCTATTACTACCTCCATTTAATAGCCTAGAAAACTATGGCAAGGAAATGATAAGTATCTTGTTCAAATAAGTGCTAGTAAGTGCTAGGGCAGGAATTTTAACCAGATTCCACAATCTTGATTACTGCATTGTATTACCTAAAAATTTTTCTGACAAAGATGTTAATTCATTCCATCTTTTTCTTTCTTCTTTCTTTCTTTCTTTCTTTCTTTCTTTCTTTCTTTCACTTTCTTTCTTTCTTTCTCTCTCCATCTCTTTCTCTTATTTCATTTTTACTTTTGTGAGATTAAAGGAACTAAGCAAAAGAACTGAATTTGGGAGAGATGATAGTACAGGTTTATAACCTTGAAGCTTCTTTGTTCTTTTTCTTTTTTTTTTTTTTCTCTATTTTTTTTTTTTTTTTTTTGGGTTGGGAGTGTAAAAAAGAAGGTTATACTGAAGATAAAGTTACATAATAAACTATTCTTTGATATTTTACACAATATATAAATATAACTATATTCTTAGTTTGCATGATTATAATTTTATATAATTACATATGAGATTTCTAGCTTAGATTTGACCTTTATCATATACAGTATTTGCACCTTCCACCTTTTACAAAGAGTGTTTAACATACATTATGCCTTTAAAATGTTTGTGCTAAACAAAGTTCATCTGTTTATTTCAGTGAAAAGTCTAAATATTATTTGAATGATGAAATCAGGTGGCTTTGAATAAATTTAAATTAATTTTGAAGAAAAGATTCTTCATAATAATGCAGTACAAAATTCAAAAATGGAAATTTTAAAAAGTTATAATTAATATAAGTGAAGCCAGTAAAACATGCTTAAGAAGTCACTAAATAGTGTATGACATGTTATACTTTTTTTTTTGAGAAAGACTAAAGAATGTCAGACACACATTATGTATTGAATATTAAAATTTTTCTGACGATACATATAGACATG